TATATATATATATATATATATATATATATATATATATATATATATATATATATATATCTTCCTTTGAATGTTTATCTGAAATAAAGAAAAAAGTAAATTAAATTAATAAATAAAAAGCATAAAAAGTAGAAATATAAGTAAGAATGGCAGTCTTTCTCCAAGTGTTTATAAATCTGAAAATGCCTGGCTGCAGAATGACTGCAACCATTAATTAAAAGGAGGCATGCATAATTGGGTATCACCACTGAGCAGACCCTGCTCCTAGACAATATAATGCAATTCTGACGCACCAGTGCAATCATAACCCTGCTCTAGCTCATCTTAATGAGTACTGTTTCTATAATATAACGGATAGCTCATGGCTGCCACCCTGTGTTAGTTATTGGGAAGGATCTGCCACAGGGGAGTTTCCTGTGAAGAGGTTTTGGCTTGGCTTCCTCAGCATTTGCTCGGCTGTGTAGTCTTGTGAAGCACAGTAGTAGGTGCCTGTGTCTTCCAGCTGGGCATTCTCCAGAGACAGAGGCAAGGCAGTTGACTTCAACCCTGAGGTCTTGAAGCGTTTTTTGAAGGGTTCTTCAATGGCAGATTCTCCTGTAGAACCTTTAGATGTAAAAGCCACCAGCTGGAACTGTGAATGGGCTTCCCTCCTCTTCTCTTGCTTGTACCAGGACATATATGTATGGCTGGTCTTAAGTTGAGAACATGCCAGTGTGGTTGCACCCCCTTCCATAATGATCACATCTGGCAGCTGAACAATATCAGCAGCTACAAAAATTTATAATTAATTGTTAATAGATTCATTGTGGAAATATAATGAAATTCATTTTAAATAAAGGAAGGTGACAACTTTGAAAATGAGATATATTTCTTAAAGTTGTGAATTAAGCAATGTAAATGCCTACTATTATTTTTTGTGGCATTGTGGTAAATTGGTGTGTGTGTGTGTGTGTGTGTGTGTGTGTGTGTGTGTGTGTGTGTTTATGTATTACATATATCACAGAATTTTAGTTCAATGCTTTTATCCCTTCAATTTTTTTAGGAGTAACCCAGACATTTGTAAATTCACAACTCAGCTTAAAAAGTTAGTTAAAGAACTAAGTAAACAACTTAGTAAAAAGAAGTAAGAATATTGCTTACGTTTTTGGTCTTCATGATGCACATGAGTAGCACCATCACTAAGATTACACAAGTGACATTATTACAATTTTCTTTTGAAGGCCTTTATTACTTTCAGATCTTCAACTATTTTTCAGAAATTGAAGATAGCAAAGTCATGAATACCTTAGCAAATGTTTTTCTATCGTGCTCCTTTTTAACATCACTTGGGAATGGCTGTCATTTATTTTAAATATTAAAATGTGGCAAGGAAAAGACTCCCAGATTCTACAAATTGAAAGAACAGTGATTTAAGTGATGGAAGTAAATCTCTTACCTGATAAGGGCAAGAAAGCAAAAACCAAAAGGAAGCTCATTTGTGGCAATAGAGCATCTCACTGGAGTCTTCTCTGACTGGGCCAGTCACACTTTATATTAATGTGAAGCGTAACTGCAACCAAATGCAGATGTGAGAACAGGAAGTCACATGAGCAAGGAAATCAGAATGGAAATATTTGAGCAAGGGAGGCTAAAAGAATGTCAAATAGAAAGACCTGAATGTCTAGATTGAAGAATTCTGCAAATTTACAGCCTCATCTGGAGCTCTGAGATACGTAAATTGTTTTAGCCTCACAATATTTTGCAGAAGTATTCTCTGAGTCTGACCAGAGGGACTCTCTAGGCTGCCCGGAAGGAGTTCACTCGATAGCTAGATAGTTTCCAATGAATCCACCCCAGTCCAGGAGGATCAATGGCTATAAGCCTTGATGTCAGTCTAACTGCCTTTGAACACCATTTGCTGGGAAACTAGTTGGCTTCCTTGTGCAGCTGGTTGGCCACCTTGACAAACACAATGCTGAATTACAGGCTTGGGAATCCAATCCAGCAGAACATTGCTTAGATTCTAAATGTTCTTACAGAAACATTTTAATTAGCATTACAGGTAGTACTCGACTTAGGACTGTTAGTGACTGTTCAATGTTATGACCTACCTGGAAAAAAAGGGAGTCCTGATCCAGTTCTAACTGGATCATGTTTCCTCCCCCGCCAGTAGTCATGTGAGCACACTTCAGCTACTCAACAACATAGCCACATGTACAGTCAATTTGCAGTCACATGGCCACGTTTTACAACATTTTTGCCAAAAACCAGATGTTACTTCTGTTTTTTGGAAAAACTATACCATGGTGAAAATGGGTTTATTTAACAATCACCCATTCGCTTAATGATGACCAACAAAATGGTTGTAAAATCATACAAGATTCACAGCATACAACTGAAATGAGCAGACCGAATTACTGTCTTAGGCCAAGGACTACCTGTACAAAACGAGGCCCCAATTGTGGCGTTTGTGGAGCCTCCTTAAAACACAGAAAACACCTCTCTCTCTCTCTCTCTCTCTCTCTCTCTCTCTCTCTCTCTCACACACACACACACACACACACACACACACACATTCCTGAGAAATACTGCTTGCCTGCAGACTAGCAGGAGGTTGCCATGAGGCCAGTAGCCTCTGCAAGCAATCTGAGATTCATATTGCATTATATGGGCCAGGATCCTCTGCAAAAGACAAAAAGGTAAGGTAAGTGCTGCTGGGCCTTGTAGCTGGCCAAATCCTGCAAGTCCCTTGGTGGCTGGATGGGAAGTAAGCCTTGCCCTACAGACTGTATCTGCTCTGGTTGCTTCTGCTCAGCAGCTTTCGGCTCCCTTGCCTGATGTATAGCTGGCTTGGGAGCAGGCCGAGGCCTGGGGAATCACGAGGGACAGGGGGCAAGTACCTCAGGGGTAGTTAAGTCCTTGGGAGGCCCAGGACAGGTGGGCCTGAACCTGTGCTATGCCTCCAAGGGCTTCCCCAACCCCATAGACATCCCATGCTTCCCTTAATGCCCCACACATTCATTTTACAATTGCATTGGGGAGAGGAGGGATGGGGGGTGTCATTAAGTAAGGCTCCATTACAAACATAAGTTGACGGCTATCTGTAGTTCATTCTTTTCAAAAAAAATTGTTTTAGCCTTCTTTTATTTGGAGTGTGGATTCTGGCACATATACATGTGTGTCATATGCAAACATTTATATGAACCTCCCAGTTTGTTTTAAAATGGAAGAATCTTTGATTGACCACTGTCTTGAGGTCGGAGTTAAGGTGCTGCACAGAACTTTTGCCTATAAATATTTATTAAATCTGAAGTAAAATAAAGCATAAAAGAATACAAATACAAGTTAGAGTGGCAGTCTGTCTTCAAGCAATTATGACTCTAAAAATGCTTTATACAGAATCATGTCTTCAGCCTTGTCACTATTGAGTGTCACCGCTGAGCAGATGCTACTCCTAGATAGCTAAGCCAAAAGTGCCAGATGTTTGTGCAATATAATGAATAGCTCATGGCTGCCGCCCTGTGTTAGTTATTGGGAAGGATCTGCCACAGGGGAGTTTCCTGTGAAGAGGTTTTGGCTTGGCTTCCTCAGCATTTGCTCTGCTGTGTACTCTTGTGAAGCACAGTAGTAGGTGCCTGTGTCTTCCAGCTGGGCATTCTCCAGAGACAGAGGCAAGGCATGTGACTTCATCCCTGAGGTCTTGAAGCGTTTTTTGAAAGGTTGCTCAATGGCAGATTCTCTTGGAGAACCTTCAGATGTAAAAGCCACCAGCTGGAGCTGTGAATGGGCTTCCCTCCTCTTCTCTTGCTTGTACCAGGACATATATGCATGGCTGGTCTTAAGTTGAGAACATGCCAGTGTGGTTGCAGCCCCTTCCATAATGATCACATCTGGCAGCTGAACAATAGAAGCAGCTATAAGAATCCATAATTGTTAATTGATTCATTGCGAAGATGTAATCACATTCATTTTAAATAAAGGAAGGTGACAGCCTTGAAAATGAGATATATTTCTTAAAGTTATGAATTAAGCAGTACTTACTTGCCTACTTATTTTTTGTGGCACTGGTAAATTGATTTAAGTATACATACATATATACATACACACACACACACAGAGGAAAATAATTTTAGTTCAGTGCCTTTAATTCCTTCAATTTTTTTATGAGAAACTCAAATACCTCTAAATTCACAATTAAACTTAGGTTAATTAAACATCAAGTAAACATGATCATTTTCAGTCCTCCAAATAGAATTGTCTGGAAATTGAGTCTGCCTCGATGACTGTGAATCTTTAAATTGACATATTGCCATGCACTTTGGGGGGAAAAACCCTGAGTTTGGTGTGGAAGGAGTTGGTACATTCCAATGAATCTGTGTCTAACCAACTTGCACAGGCTGAAGAATCTGCTTGGATGGGCAGCAAAATATCTCAAACCAACAAAAATAAATTCAATTGCTGTGACTCAATTTCCAGACATCCAAACAAAAATTTAGTAAAACGTGATAAGGATATTGCTTAATTTTTTGGTCTTTGTGATGCACATGAGTAGCACCAGCACTGAAATTACATCAGTGATATTATCACAATTTTCTGTTGAAGGCCTTTACTACTTTCAGACCTTCAACTATTTATCAGAAACTGAAAATCAGACAAATGAATACCATATCCTAGCTAATGGGGTTTTTTTATTGTGCTCCTTTTTAACATCACTTGGAACTTGCCTGTCATTTAATTTCATGCTGATGTTAAAATCTGGCAAAGAAAGGACTCCCAGATTCTATAAATTGAAAGAACAGAGATTTAAGTGATGGTAGTAAATCCTTACCCGTCAAGGACAAGAGAGCAAACAACAAAAGGAAGCTCATTTGTGGCAATAGGGCATCTCAGCAGAATCTTGTCTGCCTGGGCCAGCTGTATGTACATTAATATAAGGCGTAACAGCAACAAAGTGCAGATGTGAGAACAGGAAATCATGTGATCAAGGAAATCAGAATGGAACCATTTGAGTAAGAGAAGTTAAAAGAATGTCAAATAGAAAGACCTGAATGTCTGATTGAAGAATTCTGTGTATTTACAGATTCAGCTGCAGCTGTATAAAAAATAAGGTAAAGGTTTCTCCTGCCAGTCATGGGGGTGGTGTTCATCTCCAATTTACAGCTGAAGAGCCAACATTGTTCAAAGATGCTTCCATAGTCATATGGCCACTATAGGTTTATAAATTGTTTTCTTCTGGATTACCAACCAGCCTGCAGTCACTTTTTTTAGGAATTCATAGCACTGGAATTTCAACACATTTTAAGCATACAGGTTTGAGAATCCTGACTTAGACTGAATGTTTTTTCTCTTGGTTCCATGCTATATTTTCCCCAAATTACCCACCTCACTTAATATCAATTGCTATCACCTGGTTCATATATACAATGAAGTTACTAATGTAGTTGTCATTCATAATTACTAGTTCTTCCCTGTTTGCATCAGCCTACATAGCCATCTCCCTTCAGGAGCATGACTTCTAAATGCATCCATTGTTACTCATGAGGACTTAGGTTTCACTCTTTTTCTTCACACCCTACTTGGTGCCATATCTTAAGTGCTTTTTGTGATTTTTATCTTCTTCTTTTATCTTCTTTAGTGTATTTTAATCTCTCCTTTTATCACAAAATCATGTTCTCTCTTCCTGGAGGCATATCAGATGCCTTCCAAATGAGACACACAATCTTCCTTAAGGTTTCTTCTTTCCAAGAAACCAAGTTCTTTTTATCTTTTCCTAAGCCATCCTTGCCTTGTAATCCTCTTTTCCCTGTCCAACATTGTATCAGAAGCATCTCCCATATCCAATTCAGTTTTTCGGATGCAAAAATAATTTTTCAGCCATGAACTGAAAAAGAGCTTTTTAGAGCATTGATAGAAAGGGACAGGATAAAATTAGTTTTCAATAGGTTTTAGCTGCTTATAGATTATTTGGCTAATTTCTGAAGACGTGTGCTGTATTACTATTATTTGTTATTTTTTAATACTTTGATAACTGTTTTGGAGCATAATGGGTTGTTCCCTTTCTAATAAACTACATATATGTATTGTGTTAATAAGTAATATAATTATACATACGAACATATATACTGTATATAATGTGATATGCATATACAAAATATTGTAAATTGTAATATTGTAATATAAATGCTCTTCCTTAAAAACTATTTTATGGACTTAAATACATTTTTCTGACCAAAGTTTTGTAAGTTTCTTGAAATTCTTAGAAAAATCCATGGCATAGAAAAATTAAGAATCCTTTCCCTGAGAAGATGGGCAAGGCTCAACTAGTAGGCATTGTCTATCTTGAACATTTTCCTTCTTTACTTGCAGGAGGTGATGGCAAACAAAACTGGTTTTAGTCGTGATATTGAAGTTTCTGAACCAGCACCCTGCAAACTGAGTCCAAGAGACACAACTACAACACCACAACCAAAAGGGCACACCAAGTACAAAGCAATTCCAAATGTGGCTTCCAAAGCTGTTAGCACATCCTAGCCTGCTGTTCATAGCTTTGGGGTTTGTTTGGCTTCACATCTCCCCTTGGGTATGAACTCTGAGGATCCCATGCCAGTTTGTAGTTCCAGACCCATTGTGGGGCTGTTGTTGTCCATTACTTTTCTCTGTGACAGGAGGGCCCCACGCCTGACCACTTTTTTTTACCTCTATTTGAATGAAGTTCAAAGTTGAAACAAACCAGCTGGCATTGGGGAGAAGTCCAAATATATCACCTAGAATTTAGAGAGGACCTATCCTTCTTTTCAATTTCAATCCAATCCTGCTATACAGTTCCACTCTAGAAAGAAACAGGGCATCATCTGGGAGCCCTGTTACAGTATTCCATGGATCCCAGCTATAAGGAATGATATCTTACCAGAGGACTATCAGTATACTTGCTTGCAGATTTCAGGGTGAAGATGATAAACAGGATGCTTCTTAAATTATAGACCTCTGTTTCTATCATGTTTAAATACACCAACATCTTCCACCAAGCAGATGTTCTCTATAATAGACACTGGACCCCTGGAATAGAGAGAGCTTGCACTTCCACTTTAAATAATGATACCAATGTGACTTAATTTGCCCTTGATTTCAGTAAAAATGAAGTTATACATAAACCCAGCGCATAGTATATTTATGTATATTAAAATAGAGAAAACTCTCTTTGGGTGCTCTGAAATGTAAAAAAAAGAACTGAATTAGCATTTATTGCATCATTAGCAATAAAATTTTATTTTCAAGGTTTCACTACAACAAAAAGGTGCAATAAAAATATAATAATAACATCTACTTAGTTTGTTAAACTAGGTTTGTTAAAACAAAAACAGATTTTTTTTCCAAATCCTTTGCTATAGGAATGAAATGCCCTAATAGCATTTATAGTTTTTCATAAAATGTTCAAAATCCAATATATCAACCATAGTAATTTTAAGATCTTTAATAATAATTTCTTTGCAAATGTAATCAAAATAAGATTTACTTTGTATGAACTTGTTCTTTTTTCTCTTCTTCTTCTTCCTCTTTCCATACTTGTGATTTTAAACAATATGGTAAATTATAATTAATATGTAATATATTATTATTTTAAAGTTATTATAATTAATTAGTATTAAGCATTGTTAAGTAGTGAAATGAATGAGATTTATTGATTAATTTGTTATTTACATGATTATATTGAAAGTTGTTTAATAATAGAATAATTATTAAGATTTAATATGTATACCCGGACTGGTAGACTTGCTGAAGCGATGTTATTTTGTGGGATTAATCCCACTTTTGTGTTATCCCTTTTCCCTGGTCTAACCTTTTTGTATGTTTCCCTTTGTCTTATCCTTTTTGACCCTATTCCTTTATTACCCTTATAAAACTCAATAAAATATTTAAAAATAATAATAATAATAATAATAATAATAATAATAAGATTTACTTTCACATTTCATCAGCAAAATAATTGTCTAAAAATTATTATATTATTAGGAATATTTTAATAGCTATTAATATATATAAAATACAAAAATGCTCATCTGATTAAATTTTTATTAAAAATGTAGATGCCTGATTATGACAATCAAACATAATTTTTTATCTCATACATGCAAACGTTTCTGTCTTCTTTAGGGTGCTTGCAAGTTTCCTTCCAAATAACTTGGCAGGATCACTAGGGGGCAGGCTGGGCCTGTGCTCCTCTGGGGAAAAAAAATAAAGTTTCGTCTTCAACTTGGTGGGTTCACCATTAAAGCTGTCAGTCCCTCTGCTTTCTCTCACCCCAATTTCTGTATGAAAATTGAGCTATATCTATACGGATATACAGACATGCAGGTGTTTAATAATACAAATGTTCACCAATTGCTTCATTATTCAAACAGCTATGAGTCCATCCAAATAGCAGTACTGAATTCTCTCCTGACTGATGCACTTTCTCTTGCCAGTACATGAATATGTCTATATTTTCACTGCTTCTCTCCATCCACCCTACAGGTAGTTCTTGACTTATCACCACAACTGAGCCCAGCATTTATGTTGCTAAGCAAGAGAGGTGTTGAGTGAGTTTTGTCCCATTTTTATGACCTTTGTTGCCACACTTATTAAGTAAGTTATAATACGGTTGTTAAGTGGATCTGGCTTCCCCATTGACTTAGCTTGTCAGGAGATCACAAAAGGGGATCACATGAGTCTGGGACACTGCAACCATCATAAATATGAGCCAGTTGCCAAACGTCCAAATTTTGATCAGGTGCCCATAGGGATGCTGTAATGGTTGTGTGAAAAATGGTCATAAGTCACTTTTTTTCAGTACTATAACTTCGGACGATCACTAAATGAATGATTGTGAGTCCAGGACTACCTGTATTTTGTCCATGATATTCCTTCCCACTTAGTCAATCTCTTCTTATGCTGAAGAATCTCCCTTGCCTTAATGATCTCCAATTTTGTTCATCTGAAGTTCTTGCCAAGATGAGCAATCCCCCCTCAGGCCAGACATGATTGTTTATTTGATCCAGATCAACAAGTACAGGAAATATTAATGAGTATTCAACTTAAAATTTAGAAATGTAAATTTAAATATGTAAAAGTCCTCTATCCATTTGAGCATTTTGTCTGAGCATGTTTGTGGATTTGAGCCAGTTGTAATCAAAATGAAGTGAAATGAAGGTTTGCTGCAGCCTAAAGAGAGAAAAAACACCTTCCATCCCTCAAGTATGAGGTATTGAATTCATTTAAGGTGAATTCATTAGAGCTGTGTAGTTTTCAGATCCGATTCCAAAAAGATTATTCAAGGTACCTAGTGAACTCTGCTTTAGGCATGGAGAGGAAGACTTCTATAGCCAACTGTGGAAGGAAACAGAAGCAGTATCTTATTTGTCCTCAAGTAAACTTATTTTGTTCCTTTTTCTCTAGCCCGGGGGTTGTTTCCAGTTCAGTTTATAAAGATTAATCATGACTCAGATTCCAGTGTTTTCTCTGGGATTCATGTTCAATTGATCTGACATGGCCTTGTAACTCCTCCATTCAGAGGTAGAATTTCTTTTTTTCAATATAAAATTTTTATTTTTATCATAAAAAAAAAGAAATACATCACAAATATTTCACAATATTATATCCCATCCCCCCACCCCCCAGACTTCCCAAACCAACCTAGGCTGATATTCAAATACAAGTAAACAAATATTAATATCTCTAACTCCAAAGTCTAAACTTAAACAATCCATCTCCTCCGTGTTAATAAAAATTATTCATTTAGTTAGTTCTTCAAATATCCAAAATCTTTACCATTTCAGCAAGATAGTTTAACACCATCCCTTACTTATACAAAAAAA